CGAGATGGAGAGAGAGCAATATGAATGGGTTTTTTGGGGCAAGTGCAAGATATTGGGTGAAATGATTTGTCCTTAATTGATGCTTTCCAACTTAATACACCTGTTGAATTGTTTTCCTGTTCGGTTTTAAATTATACTGCTTAAAAAGCAGTATATTTAGAATAAGAATATCATGGCATGTAGGATAGGTAATAGTAATTTTTAATCAGTGTTTCGTGAAATTTTCCCCACATTTTAATGTGTGTTTGGTTTATCAGCTCTACGTCAGGTCCGATACTAAAAATCCAATATACTTCAACTTGATCCGAATCCGACGAAATTAATGGAAAATGGATTGAGGGTCTCAATCCGATAACCCAATTGAGATTCGAATCCGATAATCCGTTAATTAAATGAATCAAATATAGATATAAGTCGATCCGATTCGATATCACTAAAACATTCTAAAAGGAGTCTCCTTTATAAATGAATTAAAGGAGCAACACTTTGATAAAAAAAATAATTTGGGCTTTCTAATATAATAAGTAAACCCATCAAGATAGTTCAAATATTTTTTAAAATAAATAATTAATTAAAATTTTGTTGAGGCTATGATTTTTAATGAAAAAATATATAAAAATCTTTTATTTTTTTTTTAAATTTCGGATCAGATTATCGGATCGAATATCCGATAACATAGTTAATCGGATATGAATTTAACATTCAAATATCCGTCAAATTATTGGATCAGATCGAATTGAATTTGAGCATATTCGATCCATATATTCGATCCATTTACAGCCCTAACTTCAATGCAAAGATTTCACAACTGCCCCGGGTCGAATTCACGGAAGAGGTTGGACAACGTACCGTCGACGGATGTTCTCTTCTTTGCCTCGATTGTGTACAGAGAAACAATGTGTTGTGACAGTAATTTAGTCCTCTTGCTAGTCATTTGCTTTGACACGTCAATAACATATTTCTTACAGGATGTCACTTCCATTGTCTTCTCTGGCATAATTGTCACATTATCCAAACTCGCGACGTTATATGTCAAGTTGGGTGTCCTTTCCAACATAGTTATGTATATTATTTATTTAATATTTAATTACTTTGTTTAATTATTTTTTTAATCACTTAATTAAATAAAAAATTAATATTTAGTTTAATTTCTTATTCAGATATTTCATTTATAAATTATCTTAATTGATTGTGTATATTATGTATGTAATATTTCATTACTTTATTTAAATAAATTTTACAATATATACAATTATTTCATAAATACAATTATTTCGTCCCCTCTACCGACACCTCTCCCATCCCCACTGACATCCATAACGAATCTAATGAAACATCTATATACATCCCCCCTTTACCGCTACCCTCCTTGTAACCATCTCCGCCACCTTCTTTGTCATCGTCTGGGACCCCTATCGCCTGTCGACTGTATCTCCTCAAATATGACTCTGACCCTCCTCCTCGATTAACGCTGTCAGCTCAGTGAGCACTTCAAGCTGATATATTAACATTTCATCGAATTGATGACCATGCATTGAGTTTTCAAAATGACGTACAACATTAAATCACAAATGAATATACGTACCTCAGGATCGTTGTGGAGAGCTGATAACTGTAAGCTCAGTCCCCATGGATAATTGTTGAATGTTTCAATGTCATCAACAACCTACAAATGAAATACGTCGATCGACGTCTTCCTGTGATGATACCTCAGTATGTTCTTTACAGTATAAACACTATCCACAACTTTAACTTGTCGAACATATTGTCGCATTCCCTGAATATGTTTCCTAACTGTGCCATTGTTATTTTACTTAATTAAATTGTTTATTTAATATTTAATTGTTAATTATTTATTTAAATTGTTCATTTAAATTATTTATTCAATATTTAAATGTGTATTTAAATTATTTATTTTAATTGTTTAGTTGTTTATTTAATATTTATTTTAATTGTTAATTGAATGTTTAATTGTTTATTTTAAATGTTAATTATTTATTTCAATTATTTAGTTAATATTTAATTACTTATTTTTATTATTTATATTTATGGTTCATTTAAATTATTTATTTAATACTTAAATGTTAATTATTTATTTCAATTGTTTATTGAAATTGTTTAATTACTTATTTAAATTACTTATTTTTTATTATTTATATTTATTTTTCATTTAAATTTTTTATTTAATTTTAAATGCTAATTATTTATTTCAATTATTTATTTAATATTTAATTACTTATTAAACTATTTTTTTATTATTTATATTTATATTTATTTATGTTAAGTAATTATTTTTATTGCTTAATTAATATTTAATTTACTTCTTTATTGAATTTATTTCAATTAATTATTTATCATTTCAATTATTTTATTATTTCAATTAGTTATTTATTATTTACTTAAATAAAAAATATACATAAATAATTAACATAATTCATGAAATATTTAAATAAACAAATAAAGTATAAAATAAATAATTATATATTAAACAAATAATATACATAAACAATTAAATTAATTACTTAAAAATTTAAATAAAAAATTAAATTAAATATTGATTTATTAAATTATTTATTTAATATTTAATTTAATTTTTTATTTAAATATTTCATTAATTATTTTAATTGATTATGTATATCGTTTGTTTAATATTTAATTACTCTATTTAATTACTTGTTTTAATTATTTATTTCATATTTATTTACTTGATTTAATTATTTATTGAATATTCAATTGTTTATTATATTTATTTCATTATTTAAATTATTTATATTTTAAATAAAATGAAATAAAAAATAATTAATTATTTTACTTAAATAAATAATTTACATAATTCATAAAATATTTATAAACAATTAAATTCAATATTTTAAAAAAATGGCTGGCATGGGCCAATCCAGACGGCCCAGACCATTGAGATCCAGATAACTGGGCAGTCTGGCTTGTCTGGGCAGTCATCTGGATCCAGACGACGACGTCGTTGCCGCCTGAATCGTCTGAAAACTCCATTTTTTACGAGATCTATCCCATTTTTTCACTTTTCTTAACCAATTCAACCTCAAATTCGACTTTTCCTTCTATTTAACTATAAGAATTTGTATTAAACTCATAATTTAACATATTCAAATCTTAAATATTCAAATTTTTATGTATTAAACTCGAACATTCAAATTCCCACATATGATAGATCTCAATGGCGAGTAAATTACAAAGAAACAAATCTCATCTTTGAGAAATGACGATCTCCGGCAAATGGTCGAAATGGGTTCGGTCTTAGCGGTCCTTAGGTGGGGTTGGTGTTTCTCTTTTCTTAGTTTTCTTTTTCTTTCTCCTCTTCTCTTTTCTTTATTTGGGGGTATTTTCGACCCTTTCAGTATTGTTTACATTTTCATTTTTTTCTTTTTTTTTTAATGAGATTTTTTGTGTTAAAGGCCATTTTGGAAAAATGGCAAAGTCAGGCAGCTATTTGCCACCATTTCCTCGTGGAGGAACCACATCTGTGATATCAATTGTTGGTACTCTAGGAATTGGAAAAACCACTCTTTCTCAGTTCATCTATAATAACGATAAGGTAAAGAAACATTTCGATGATTTAAGAATTTGGGTTTTGTATCGCGTGATTTTAATGCCAAAAGAATAATTAAAGAAATAATTGAGAAATCAATTGGAAATAAATGTGATTTAATGGACTTGGGCGTGGTCTGCACTCTCAAATGTGGGAATCATTAAAAGAAAAGAACTATCTTCTCGCGCTTGATGATTGGGATAAACTGATGTCACTATTCGAGTGTGGACTTGGCTGAAGCAAAATACTTGTCACAACCCGCAGTCAAAAAAGCTGCATTGGCTGAAGCAAAATACTTGTCAGCATTTTGTGGCGTTCTTTGCTTTCTTTCTTGCTTGCTTTCTGTGTCCCGTCTTATGGACCATTGGACTTATTTATAGGGGAGGATTCGAGCTAATTTTGGTAATTACTCAATTATATTTAATTAAAAGAGATAATTGAGTAATTATAGTTTTATTTATTTATTTGTTTATTTTATTTGTTTGTTTATATATTTAAAATATGATATGGGCCTTCGAATTTATGGACCTTAGTAGATTTCAATTTAATTAGGCCAATGATTTAAATTGACCCAATCCATTTTATTTTATTTACTTATTTATTTATTTATTTCTATTTTCATGTCTACAGTTATGTATATCGTTTGTTTAATATTTAATTACTCTATTTAATTACTTATTTTAATTGTTTATTTCATATTTATTTACTTGATTTAATTATTTATTGAATATTCAATTGTTTATTATATTTATTTCATTATTTAAATTATTTATATTTTAAGTAAAATGAAATAAAAAATAACCGATTATTTTACTTAAATAAACAATTTACATAATTCATGAAATGTTTATAAACAATTAAATTCAATATTTAAAAAAAATGGCTGGCACGGGCCAATCCAGATGGCCCAGACCGTCGGGATCCAAACGACTGGGCAATCTGGCAGTCATCTGGATCAAGACAACGACGTTGTTGCCGCCTGAATCTTCTGAAAGCCCGAATTGTCTGAAAACTCCATTTTCAACGAACTCCATCCCATTTTTTCACTTTTCTTAACCAATTCGACTTTTCCTTCTATTTAACTATAAGAATTTGTATTAAACTCATAATTTAACACATTCAAATATTAAACATTCAAATTTTTATGTATTAAACTCAAACATTCAACTTCCCACATATGTTAGATCTCAATGGTGAGTAAATTACAAAGAAACAAATCTAATCTTTGACAAATGATGATCACCGACAAGTGGTCAAAATGGGTTCGATCTGAGCGGTCCTTAGGTGGCGTTGGTGATTCTCTTTTCTGTGTTTTCTCTTTCTTTCTCCTCTTCTTTTTTCTTTATTTGGGGGTATTTCCAACCCTTTGGGCATTGTTTACATTTTGAGTTTTTTTTTAAATGAGATTTTTTGGGTCAAAGGCCATTTTGAAAAAATGACAAAGACAGGTAGCTATTTGTCACCATTTCCTCGTGGAGGAACTACATCTGTGATATCAATTGTTGGTACTCCAGGAATTGGAAAAACCACTCTTTCTCAGTTCATCTATAATGACGATAAGGTAAAGAAACATTTCGATGATTTAAGAATTTGGGTTTTTGTATCGCGTGATTTTAATGCCAAAAGAATAATTAAAGAAATAATTGAGAAATCAATTGGAAATAAATGTGATTTAATGGACTTGGGCGGTCTGCACTCTCAAATGTGGGAGAAAAGAAATATCTTCTCGCGCTTGATGATTGGGATAAACTGATGTCACTATTCGAGTGTGGACTTGGCTGAAGCAAAATACTTGTCACAACCCGCAGTCAAAAAAGCTGCATTGGTTGTAGGCAATTCAGATACAGCATATCGCTTGAAGGGTTTGTCTAATGATGATTGCTGGAAAATATTCACAAAGCGTGCTTCTTTTACTCGGACAGAAGAAGAGAAGTATCTAAACCTTATTGGGAAAGAACTAATGCGGAAATGTGGAGGAGTGCCTTTGGCTACAAAAATTCTTGGTGGTCTTATGCGCTTCAAGAGAGAGGAGAGAGAGTGGTTATATGAGCAGAATAGACTAGTAATCTTTGGACTTTGGGGCTTTACAAAAATAAAATTTTACCTGTCCTACTGGTAAGTTACATGCATTTGCTGTCGCATCTCAAACATTGCTTTGCATTCTGCTCAATATTTCCGAAGAATTACGAAATCAAGAGGTAGAAATTAATCCATATGTGGATGGCACTAGGCCTAATTCTTCCAGATGGTGGAAGCAAGGCACTAGAAGAAATTGGGGATGAGTATTTCAATGAGTTGTTGTTGTTGGGGATTGAACGAATAACACAACCACGTAGCGGAAACAATTACACAATCCCCTATTATGTAGAATTATAAATGGCAGTAAAATAACAATGCTCGGCTCCAACTCACACACACTGGCAGAAATTGTAAAGATAACAACACCAATATTTGTTCACTAGGGAAACCCTTCAACGTGAAGGAAAACCCCGGGACCTAGTCCAGTAAAGCCTTCCACTATATGAATAATGGGATACACAATTTAACCCTCTCCAAAGTAAACTCTAGAGGCTACCAATACATCAAGAACACATATAGTTCTTGGATATCAACAACAACATCATCCAAAATAAATATACACAATAATAAGGAGAAAATCTCACTAGACAAGTGTGTATAGCCCAGAGAAATGGAGAAGAATTTCGACGATCAGCTCCGGTCAAAATGTAGGTATCTTTGCCAAGAATAACATACTGAAATATCAAGAAAATCGGACTACAAACGAGCCTCGATCCTTTGGCAAGAAGAGCTGAAATGTCGGACTCTTTCTCTCGCGTAACTCTCTGCTCCAGAAATGAAATTGGCTTTCCCCTTTTGGAATGTATTAATTCTGCCCCGTTTTCTCCCTATCTATATTTGTATGTTTTAGTTTGGACCAAACAAATGGGTTTAATATGTTAGGGCCTTTAGTGGGTCAAATATGGGTAAGTCCCTCTAGTGGAGGGAAAAGCCCAACAAATCTCCCCCTCCCGACTACAAGAGGGACTCCACCAAGTCTGCTTCCCTTCTACATACTTGTAGTTTCTCCATAGGCAATGGCTTTGTCATCATATCTGAACCATTCTCGTCAGTATGGATTTTCTCAAGTTGTAACTTTTTCATCTCCAGTGCATCTCGAATCCGATGATACCTCACTTCAATATGTTTGGATCTTGAGTGGAAAGTTGGATTCTTACTGAGATGGATGGCACTCTGACTGTTACAATAGAGTATATACTTCTCTTGCTCTAGTCCCAGTTCTTGTAAGAACTTCTTCATCCATAGCAATTCCTTGCTAGCTTCAGTGATAGCTATGTACTCAGCTTCTGTGGTAGATAGAGCAACACATTTTTGTAGTCTAGACCGCCATGAAACTGCTCCCCCTGAGAAAGTGATCAAATACCCAGAGGTAGACTTTCTAGAGTCTACATCACCAGCCATATTTGCATCTGTAAACCCAACAAGCTCGGGTTTGCTGGTGCCAAAAGATAAACATATCTTAGAAGTCCCTCTGAGATAACTGAGAATCCACTTCACTGCTGCCCAGTGTTCTTTTCCAGGATTAGAAAGAAATCTACTAACAACTCCAACAGAATGAGCAATGTCTGGCCTTGTGCATACCATAGCATACATTAAGCTACCCACAGCTGATCCATAAGGCACATTCTTCATTTCTTCATTTTCATTCTCACTTGAAGGACTTTGTTTTGAACTCAATTTCAAATGACTTGCAAGTGGAGAGCTAACTGGTGTTGCCTTGTCCATATTGAACCTGTGTAATACCTTCTCGATATAACTTTCCTGTGATAACCATAATCTCCCATTCTTTCTGTCACGAGAGATTTTCATACCGAGGATTTGATTTGCAGGTCCTAAATCCTTCATTTCAAAGGACTTGCTCAACTCATTTTTCAATTTCTTAATTTTTCCAGTGTCACGACTAATGATCAACATGTCGTCCACATAGAGCAAAAGAATAATAAATTCCCCATTAGAGAATTTCTTTATGAACACACAATGATCAGAAGTTGTTCTGGTGTACCCATGCTCAACCATGAAGAAATCAAATTTCTTGTACCATTGTCTCGGTACCTGCTTGAGGCCATACAAACTTTTCTTCAACCGGCATACAAGATTTTCTTTACCTTTAGCTGTAAATCTTTCTGGCTGCTCCATGTATATTTCCTCTTCAAGGTCACCATGGAGGAAAGCGGTCTTCACATCAAGTTGTTCAATCTCCAGATTCATACTGGCTGCCAAGCCTAACACAACTCGGATTGAAGACATTTTAACCACAGGTGATAAGATTTCTTCAAAATCAATACCTTTCTTCTGACCAAACCCCTTCACAACCAACCTTGCCTTGTACCTTGGTTGCAAGCTATGTGATTCAACTTTTAGTCTAAGCACCCATTTTTTCTTCAGTGCTCTCTTGCCCTTAGGCAACTGTACTAGATCATAGGTGTTATTCTTATGCAAAGATTTCATTTCTTCTTGCATAGCTTTTAACCACTCATTTTTCTGATCATGTAGCAGAACCTCCTGATAACTTTCTGGCTCTCCCCCATCAGAAAGTAACACATATTCATTGCTAGAGTATTTCTTAGACGGCTGGCGCTCTCTAGTAGATCTTCTCAACCCTTCTTCAGCTGACACCTCAAGAGGAACATTCTCTTGAATTTGATCTGGTTCTGCATTACCCTGTGTAGAGGCTTCATCATGTCTGTCTCCCATAGTGTCATTTTTTTCTTGCACATTTTCTCTGTGATCATCATGTACCACAGGATCTAGTAGTGGTACATGTCGAACTGAACTGATTTGTTCTTCATTGACTGTATTTGGCTTCTTAGTCCGATCCAAATCTTCAATGGTTTCATTTTCAAAGAATACAACATCTTTGCTTCTGATAATCTTTTTGTTCACTGGATCCCACAATCTGTACCCAAATTCTTCATGTGCATAACCCAAGAAGATACACTGTTTTGCTTTGTTATCCAGTTTGGACCTTTCATCTTTAGGAATATGAACAGATACCCGACAGCCAAAAACTCTCAAGTGATCAAGAGATAGATCTTTCTCTGTCCAAAAGCTCTGTGGAACATAACCATTCAAAGGAACTGATGGAGAAAGATTAATCAAGTCAACTGTTGTCCTCATTGCCTCAGCCCAGAAGTGCTTGGGCAATTTTGCATGAGAGAGCATACATCTGATCTTCTCACAAATAGTCCTGTTCATTCTTTCTGCCACCCCATTTTGTTGTGGGGTCTTTGGAACAGTTTTCTCAAGCCTGATGCCATGTCTTCTGCAGTACTCTTCAAATGGCCCTCTGTATTCACCACCATTATTTGCTCTGACACATTTTAACTGTCTTCCAGTTTCTCTTTCAACTTTCAAATGAAAGTCTTTAAATACTTCCAGCACCTGATCTTTAGACTTCAAAGAATATGCAAATACTTTTCTAGAGTGATCATCAATAAATGTAACATAATACAATGCACCACCTAGAGATTTACTTTGCATCATGCAAACATTAGTATGCACTAAATCAAGAATATGAGTCTTTCTAAATGCAGGGAATCTATGAAATGCAACTCTAGTTTGCTTTCCAACTAAGCAATGAGTACAAGGGATTAGTGATATACCTTTCATATTGTGTAGGAGCTTCTTTCTGGAGAGAATTTGAAGTCCCTTTTCACTCATGTGGCCAAGCCGCTTATGCCATAACTCAGTAGAGGCTTCATTTTCAGCAATATTCACATTTCCATGAATTAGTTTTGCTTCTGTTTTGTAGAGACCATTAGTCTTCTTCCCTCTGGCTAAAACAAGAGAACCCTTTGTAAGTTTCCAAGAACCATCTCCAAGGTGATTGTGATAGCCTTCTTCATCAAGCTTTCCAACAGAAATCAAGTTGCAGCGCATATCAGGAACATGTTTGACACCCCTGATAAATAACTTGCTACCAATGCTAGTTTCCAATTGTACAACCCCCATACCAACAATTTTTGCTTTAGCTTCATTTCCCATCCTGATCCAACCAAAATCACCACTGGTATAGGATGAAAAGAAATCCCTACGTGGAGTAATATGAACAGACGCACCTGTATCAACTATCCACGTAGAATCCTGGCATGAAAGGCTAGCAAATGCTTCATCACAAGCAACAAATACCTCTGTATCAGATGCAACTGTTGTGGTCTCCTTCTGTTTTTTCTGATCTTCACCTTTCAATTTTAACTGTTCTCTTTTCCATTTTCTGCACTCCTTTTTAAGATGCCCCAAATTGCCACAATGATAACATTTTATCCCTTTTCTTGACTTTGATCTTCTTCTAGACTTGTCACGACTGTCATCACCATAAGGTTTTCTGCTCTGGTTTCTCCCCCTTCTTTCTGTAACAAGTGCTTCAGAGTTAGAAGAAGTACCTTGCTCCTTTCATCTGGCTTCTTCATTAAACATACTGTCTTTTACCATGTTGACAGTGATCACACCATTCGGAGCTGAATTACTCAGAGAGACAACTAAAGTTTCCCAACTATCAGGTAATGAACTCAATAGAAGTAAAGCCTGCACCTCACCATCTAGTGTAAGCTTCATGGTAGTCAACTCATTCAATAACTCTTGAAAGCTACTCAAGTGCTCTGCAACACTATTACCATCCCTGTACTTTAAATTCACAAGCCTTCTGATCACAAAGGCTTTGTTCTGTGCCGTCTTTCATTCATAAAGACCTTCCAATTTCTGCCAAAGACTGTATGCATCTACTTCTTTCGCTATATGATGGAAGACACTCTGATCAACCCACTGCCTAATTTGTCCAGCGGCCTTTCTATTCAATTTCTTCCAATCCTCATCAGTTATAGAATCAGGTTGCTTGCCATTCAATTCAATGGGATCGAACAAATCTTTGCAATACAAAATATCCTCCATCCTAGTCTTCCAAATAGAATAATTTGAAGATGTGAGTTTAACCATGCCACTAGCTGAATCCTCCATCTTAATTCTCACAATAATCACAGAGACTCAACCAAAACTCTGATACCAATTTGTTGGGGATTGAACTAATAACACAACCACGCAGCGGAAACAATTACACAATCCCCTATTATGTAGAATTATAAATGGCAGTAAAATAACAATGCTCGGCTCCAACTCACACACACTGGCAGAAATTGTAAAGATAACAACACCAATATTTATTCACTAGGAAAACCCTTCAACGTGAAGGTAAAACCCCGGGACCTAGTCCAGTAAAGCCTTCCACTATATGAATAATGGGATACACAATTTAACCCTCTCCAAAGTAAACTCTAGAGGCTACCAATACATCAAGAACACATATAGTTCTTGGATATCAACAACAACATCATCCAAAATAAATATACACAATAATAAGGAGAAAATTTCACTAGACAAGTGTGTATAGCCCAGAGAAATGGAGAAGAATTTCGACGATCAGCTCCGGTCAAAATGTAGGTATCTTTGCCAAGAATAACATACTGAAATATCGAGAAAATCGGACTACAAACGAGCCTCGATCCTTTGGCAAGAAGAGCTAAAATGTCGGACTCTTTCTCTCGCGTAACTCTCTGCTCCAGAAATGAAATTGGCTTTCCCCTGTTGGAATGTATTAATTCTGCCCCGTTTTCTCCCTATCTATATTTGTATGTTTTAGTTTGGACCAAATAAATGGGTTTAATATGTTAGGGCCTTTAGTGGGTCAAATATGGGTAAGTCCCTCTAGTGGAGGGAAAAGCCCAACAGTTGTGTATGTCCGTGTTTGAAGATGTCATGCAATATGAAGGTTATTAGATTTATAGAATGAAAAACATTGAATTAAACTCCATTGAAGGAGAAACAATCAACTCCATTAAAGGAGGAAATAACATCTTCAAAATAGGAGGAAAAGCACTCCAACAGTGGGAGGAAAGACACTCCAGGAGGAAATGAACCTCACAAAAGGAGGAATAGAAACTCCATTTTAGGAGAGAAATGAAACCTCCATAAGGGGGGATTGGAAGACTACACTCCAATCAATTATGATACCTACAATGAGTTTATTTATAGAGAAAATCTAACAAACTATATAACTACTCCCTAACTACTTAACAACTACAGTTGAAGATGGAAGCTCCTAGAAGTAATCTGTTGGAACGGATGGAACTGATGGAAGGTTCTGGATTCTGCTGGATGTTAGGTTCCAACAAAGGTGGAGCCATACGACGGTACAAGATAAATGAAAATTTTCAGAGTCTTGCCCAATCTCTTACAGAAAATAAATATTTAGTATTAGAAAACCGACCTGCAGGAAACAATCTCGATCAAGTTTGTCGTGCATCAATTGTATCAAAGCATATATCGTCCCCCTTCAGGTAAAACATTTGCGTACTCTCCTTGTGTTATCAGAAGGTGGAGCTCTGGAAGAGTGTTCCGACATCTTTGAAAATTTTCGTTACTTGAGGATGCTGGATCTAAGTGGATGCGTAGTGCAGCTGCCTTCAATGAATTGCCTGCCATTATTGAACCATCTTGATCTGTCCAACAATCATTTCTATGATTTACCTCAAGAAATATCTTCCCTCTGCTCTTTACTGTCATTGAATTTATTCGGTTGCTACAATCTTGAATGGTTGCCCGATTTGCATAAAATTAGAGGCCTGAGGCATCTCAACATCAGCGGATGTGAAGCACTGAAGGAGATGCCCTTTGGCATTGGATTGTTTACTAACCTTCAGACACTGCCAATATTTATTGTGAGTACGCCTGCTGTTTCTTTATTATCATAAGTGTTTCCACACAAATCCGTTGACGTATCAGATCTGCAACATTTAAATCTTGGAGGGGAACTAAAAATAAAACACTTAGAGCGAGTTCATGTTAAACAAGTGAGAATGATGCCTTTGATGAATAAAGAGTATCTGGAGTCCTTAGGACTTCGTTGGGGAAATGAAGCAGCAGATCTCATCATGAATCCTGCTTTAGATGCCAACATAGCCAGATTCCAAGAAAGAAAGGAGCATGTACCAGGGCCGTCGGGGGAGCCTGAAACACATGCTTCTGATTGTGATCCGGTCTTGGCTGGGGAAGTTTTGGCGGGCCTCCAACCACATAAAAATTTGAAGAAAATGTTCATAGTTGGTTATCCTGGAATCAAGTTTCCACACTGGGTTCTTCCAAACCTAACTGAGATGGTGTTGATCAATTGCCGAGGATGCGTGCGGCTACCAATTCTTGGTCATCTTCCATTTCTTAGAACACTGCGCATGGAAGGAACGGACAACATTGTGCATATTGGCCGTGAGTTCTACAGTGAGGATGTTGTATCATTTCCATCACTGCAAGAACTATTTATGAGAGACTTTCCAAGTTTGCAAAAGTGGGATTGCCTGAATGACAGAGAAATATTTCCACTACTGAGCAAATTAGTCATCAGAAAGTGTCCAAACCTTGATTCACTCCCATTGTTTCTCTCTCCAAAGCATTTGGAGATGCAGAGTTGTCGGTCAATCTTGTTAAATAGAATGGAAGAATTAACCTTGCTTTCAAATCTTGACCGACACTTCGGCTCCTTGCTCCAGGTTTCAGATGCCTGACTTCCCTTAAATCCTGGAGAATTCAATGGTGAGAACAACTCTCATTGAGACCAGAAGGATTTGAAAACCTCAATGCTTTGGAGTGTTTCGAAATCTGTGACTGCCACACTATTGAAACTCTTCCAGAGAATCCAATTGGAGGTTTGATATCTCTTCAGGTCTACAGTAGCCTGAGTTCCATAACAGTTGGACTTCAATATCTTACAGCTATCAAACACCTGACCATTATGTACTGCCCAAATCTAGCGGGTTTGCCAGATAGTTTAGAGCACCTTTCTTCCCTTTTAAGTTTGGCCATTATAAACTGCCCTCTGATAGAATGTTTGCCCAATGGTCTCCAGCACGTCAAAACACTCGTGCGTCTGGAAATACGGAACTGCCAAAGAATTGCAGATTTGCCAGAGTGGTTGGACAGTTTGGCCTCACTAAGAACACAAGCAATATCAGAATGCCCTAATATAAAGTCTTTGCCTGTTGCTTTTCAACGCCTGATAAAACTCCAGCACCTCTCTATTCAAGATTGCCCTGATCCCAAAGGTGTTGTCAGAGAGATGCAGGTGAAGATTGGTGGAAAGTTTCTCATGTACCTCATAAATATATCTTCTCGTCTCAGCAGCAGTAATTTAGGTTACCAGCCCCTTGGCTTGAAAAGTAAATTTTCTTGCTTCACCACTCTGTATGTTTCTTATGTTCCTATAGTACTCGAGTGTGTTTCTTTCATCAAATATCTGAAATCCTTTTCTGTTTTCACCAGGGGTCTCTTTTGCAAATTAAGGTCAGTTGGCTTTGATGTCTTTCTTGAAATGCCTGGACTGTTGAAATAATGTCTAATTTGAAGAGATGGAGACATGGAATTTCAGTAACTTCAATGTTGGTTCTTCCTGTTGTTTATCTGATGCAAAGTACCTAGCTGTTTCTTATGTGCTTTCTTAAGATAATTGTTGAATCTAGTACTCAATTTGGTGCTATGACCTTAGGCCAAGAAGTCGGATAAAAATAAGAAGGGGAAAAAAAAAAAAAAAAAAAAGATTGTTGAGAGATTCCACTGAACGATAGTCCAAGTGTCTTCTTAATTCTTTTAGTTTCGTTTCTTGATTTTTTGATCAATGACCCATGTTAGTTTTGGTCTATTTTTCTCTGTAATTGTCTCAACTTGTGTTAGGTTCTGCCTTGATGATCTTCATTTTTTTTTTTTTTGCTTCTTTTGGCCCCCTGAGGTTTGTGTCCTGCGGCAAATGGGAGGTCATGTTCAGGCCCCTCCCTAAGGTGTGCTGTACTTTTTGTTGATTGCAGGTCAGGTAGATATAAATAAGCAACAAGACGCTTTGCACTATATATTCATCGGTTTAACTTTCCTTCCCTTCACAGTCGTAGCTCAATATACGTAGCATAGCACCTTCGTTTGGGCTCCATTAAAATGTAATATTGGATGAAAATGTATTTTGGAACAATGATTTTTTTGGGAATGTATAGTTAAAAAATAAGTAAAAATTTTGAATTTACGTGTAACATTATCTTATAGAAAAATGTGTAGTTGAAAATAAATTTAAAAAAAAAACATTTTTTCAAAAATGAAGCCCGAACGGCAAAATATGGTTTGATGGCTTACTTCATTGACACAACATTTTCGGTATGTCCTCAAGTTTCAACCGCAAAATTTAACAGCCTTTATTTTTTTTTCACCTTGCTGCTACTGTGAATGGAGCTTTAAACCATTGGTAATGAGTGCTTTGGTTTTCTCACGTTAAAATTGTCTTTACAGAGGTACAAAAAAGGTTAAACCCCAATCTTGAGAGCCCCTACCGTCCCGTCTCTAGAGCTTTGTGAGGGAGGTAAATCACGGGATGTGCCCCATCAAGTCAGGGAACAAGAGCTGTCTGTACATTGCGCATACAAGGAGTTCAATTCCATGTCTCAGGAATCGAACCCCCATACTGTAGCTGCCAGCAAGACGTGAGATAACCTTACTCCTGTCCTTTGCACTACTGGACTATGCCCCGGGAGCACCTTTACAGAGGTACTTATTGATGAATACATACAAAAGAGAGCTTAAATTTAAGTTAGTCGTACACATTCGTCGAAAAGTTAGTATGAAATTACTTGATCTAGCAATCGAATGTTGGAGCTGTAAAATGAGCTGGCACAACACTTGAGAGTTAGGCTCTATTTGACCCACATTCTTTAAAAATATATATATTTTTAAATAGTAATTTAACATTATTTCAACCACATATGCTTCAATAAAATAATATTATACATAAATTCAAAACATTTCTTTATTTTTTAATCACACATTTTTCATCAATATATTATTTAAAAATGCATTTTTATGAAAATAATATGACTCAAACAAGGGCCTAATATAAAATTTAATCGTTCTAATGATTGAATTGCGTTGTGTAAACTAGTGGCCATGACACTTCCAGAGAATCTGGGGTAAAATGTAAAAACAAGCTAATATAAGACGTTCAGAAATGATGTTTGCAATCATCTTTCTTTATACAAATTAATATTCCATGATTTAATTAATTCTAATTCTATGATTAGTATTATTGAGTGTCAAACTATACCGAATTATTTTCATTTGGACTAAAAATCCATTTCGACATGACTAACATAGGTGATTGGTCAGCTCGCTTCCAATAATCAGGTTGTGTCATGCCCGACTACAGGGACATGCAAGGGCAAACCTAGGGGACTGGAGTGGTTATCAATCCAACAACATTTAATATTTTTGATAATTAGTAGAAAATTTGAAATTATTTTAATACATATGCAAATTTTGTCTTCTAAACTTTCTTCAACATCAAGATCCTAGCCCCACAACTGAGGACATATGACATGTACAAGTTGTGATAGCCTGATAGGCGCTCTAGACATGCCTTTAAAAAGAAAGAAAGCAAAGTGTCACGGGCCTAGTTTCGTTACACCTGAACAAACTAGAACCGTGCGACCTTAACGTTCTACAATTCCCGCACCTCACGAGAAAACGTTAAATCAGCCTTTCCACGCCCACAAATAATTTAACCAATGAGGCTAAATTATACCCACGTTGAGAAGATAATTTTGAAGTAAGGGATATATGAAAAACAAGTAAGGTTGAGAAACTTTCTTTGAATATATGAAGGGAAAACTTTACAATCTCTCTAATGAATAAACTCACTCAACTCTACATTCTCTACACTCTCTACATTTTCTAACATCTACTACATTTATTACATACCATTTACAAATGAGACTACCTCTCCATTTATAGGCAAACTTAAACCTCCTTAACCTTCCACTTTACAACTCGTGTTTGGTTGTCGCCACCTCGTGCTTAGCTGTCGCCAACTCATTCTTAGTTGTCTTCAAGTGGATTATCTTACAACTTGCCTCACAAGTTGTCGCCAACTCGTGCTAAGCTTGCATACAACTCGCGCCTCGCTTGCATGTTGTTAATATCTTCGCCAACTCGTGCGTAGCTTGCATACAACTCGCGTTTAGCTTGCAAGTGGTACACAAGTGGACAAGTTGTGCAAGTTGCCCACTTGCATCCTCAAAATATCCGGCGGCAGGTTCATGTATTTTACCTCCCCAAAATGGCTGAGTCGGGACTTACAAAAACCTCATTAACGCCCTGGAAACCTGCATGATCTAGGCAGCCTACATTCTGCCCCAAAACAGTCGAATTGCGTCCCCAGCTCGAGTTTACCTGCATCCCTTGTCGAATCTACTTGCGTCCCCTATCGCAAGCTATTCTGTCATTCAAAAACGCGTTACCCGCGCCATCTTGTGACCGCTATAGGTCCGGATCGAATGCGACCGCGTGGGCGTAATTCACTCCCCCACTGAATTTGGCGACACACTCATCGCCATATATCGCCGAAACATAGACCTTATTTGCCATAAGTCTATCTCATTTTCCCACCTTGTGCCATGACATTCCCGTGTTATTCCAAACCTTAAGTCATGATCTTGCGATCCGTGACAAAAGGCAAGCTTTGTGATGGAAATTTATTGCTTTCTGTTGTAGATAAATATAACATGTTTTTAACTAAGTAATAAAATATAAAAACATGAAACTGTATTGAGTTTGAGCTTAAAATGTGTATTTAGTCGAATTGACATGAATGAGTTGTCCCTTTTCGTATTTTGGTGATGTTGATAATCATTCATCTTTTTAAATAAGCATGTCTTAATATAATGACTACTACTTGATAAATTAATGAACAAAGTATGTCAATTCATCTATCAATAGTTGTGTATAATTTGATCATGTTGTGTTGCATGACATGATTACATTTAGGTGAATACGTTGCCAACCAAACCTACCAATTTTCAATTTTAGACAAATTATATCTCAATTGTATACACATACCTAGTTGGTTTAAAATGTTACACTCTTTTATAAATAAATAAATAAATAAATAAAACCTTCTATATTACCACTTACTGATTTTGTAAGTGATTTACATAAATATGATGTAGTGATATATGATTGGAGTAGATAAAAATAAATAAAAAAATAAAAATCCTTCTCCACTCTCCTCTTGACATATCATTTATCTATAAAACCTTCTATAATTCCTTATATACAGGTAGAATTATTTCATATCAATTGATGGGCATTTTCTCTTTTTGGAATAAATTTTGACTTAATCAAATTGCAAATTTATTATTTAGCCTTTATATGGTCCCCATTATTTCCAAAATACATTTGACTCCAATTTCTTTTCAACCACACATTTTCAATAAAATAATATTACACGTAAATTCAAAAAAATCTTATTTTTTAGTCAAACATCCGTCATCAATTTACCATTCTAAAATACATTCTTAAAGAAAAGTGGGGCTCAAAAATGCTCTTAGGTTTAGCTATAAAATACATTTTTAAATGGAACAATGCAACATTGAGTCTTCATTTTTAAGAAAAGTAAGAGACGGAGTTATGCATAAGAATTAGAATTCATTTTAAAAATAACTCTAGATTATATACTCTCTTTGTTTTTTTTTTTTAATTTACTTAACATTAATTCAAACTCTAATAAATTATTAACCATACCTTCTATAGTAATGCAACTAGTGCTATTAACCTTGACCCATCTCCTCAATCAGACAGCATGCTCGACGACCCTAGCCTTGATCCGGCCATCCTAATGATGTGAGTGATAAGTGCGCGTTTTTGCACTTATTTGGACCATTGAATTTAATTATTTGTGAGTTTCTTTAGTAATTTATTACTTAATTTTGTTGTTTTTATTGTGTAGGTGAAAACCCGAGTTAAACGAGAAGATTTGAAGGAATTAAGGCGAGAAAAGAGTAAAAGATGAAGGCAAACGAAGAAGACGATAAAAAACGTAGCCGAAATTTAAAAAAAAAAAAATTATAAAACAGAAAAGGCAGCTCGGCCTGCCCACTTAAGCAGAAACTGGGCGCCTGGGCACCACTGTTCCAGCGCCTAGGCGCCCATCTTTACTGTAGCGGGGCATTTTTTGTTAAATTCCAGATTCTCAGGGACAGCAGCTGCAATATTCACTTAGGTTTTGATTTAAAACCATAGGACATGGGACTTTTCTGGGCAGTTTTTCATTTGGGGAGCAGCCGGCACTTTCTCTTCCAATATTTTTGGGCTGCCGTTTTTCTTTTATTTTCTTTTCTTTTGTTTTTCATTTTCCTTCATCTTGCACCTTAATTTGCTTGGATATTTTGGCGAAGATTAAAGCTTGGAGATAGTGAAATAGCTTGGAAGAGGAGACCCATTTCTCAACTATTTCTCAAATTATCAATAAGCTTTTCTTTTCTCTAATTTATTTTCCATTAATATTTTGTAAAAATTTGTTGGTTATTTGTGGATATTTCATGGATAATTAAACATATTTGTGGTTGGGGATTATATTAAACCGGAATTATGATTTTCAATTAATTTGTGCTTTATAGTTCTCGTGATTGATGTGTTTAATCCATTGTGTTAAAAGATTATTTTGTTTTTCTTGATTGTTTAGGTGTACAACTAAATGATTGGTTAGTTTCGATGAATGCTACTTTGGGATTTATAGTATGTAATCGTTATTAATTCTAAAACCTTGTAGCAATTACATTTTGATAGATTATGAAGAATTTTTCGATTGAATGTATGTGGATTGACACTTAAGTTAGTGAACCGAACTTGCGAGTTTGCCCTTAATTCAATTCATCTCTTTTGTCGTAATGCGTTTGTTAAATTAAATCTAGAGAGCTTGTTCTAGGTTGTTTAATGAATGAGGTCGAGTGAAGAGCTTGTTTTATTCGACTAATATGTAAGAAGAGATTGAGATAATTGAACTTGTAATTATTCTCGAATTGTTATTAATCAAGAGAAGGAAAATCCATTATGACAATTGACATGAAAATCATTCTCTTGGTGACAAAATATCCCTAAATCACATTTTCTCATTTCAATCAAAAAGCACTTTATTTATTTCAAATTTCAAGTCTTTTCTATTTTGAATTTATCGCTTTCCTTAGTTAAACGAACCAAACCCCCCTCCCATTTAATATGTTTCGCATTTAATTATTAATATTATGTTTGTGTGCTCAATTGACATAATTGAATCAATTCTCTGTGGTAAATGACCCTTACTTGCCATATTACTATTTACCACGACACTTTTAAGTTAAGTAAGGAAAATTAATTGGAACGTGATTTGCAATGTGTCAGTGAGCAAGGTGTAATTGACTTTGACTAGGCCAATCGACAATATTTCATAAAGTTGTCGACCCAATTGATCAGGTTTAAAAAAATATATATATACATTTTGAAATATTAGTGTCCAAGGATTCCCCTAGGGAGTAAGACCGACAACGTCATCAACAGAAGATACAACAAACTGTTAACATTTTTATGTAACTAACTATATCTAACATGAATCATTTACTGTTCTTAAAAAATATTTTGAAAAAAATTATAGTTCTTCATTTTTACTTCGTTGTGTTAATATCAAATGACGATTTTTTTATGAAGACTTTCTTTTGCGGTCAGAAATCAGCTCCTCCCACTGGTTTAGCCCTATTATTCCAACTTTTTGCCAACTTTCTAATTTTTAAACAGTAAATTAATTGTTAAAAAATTGCAAGTGGACATAACCACGTCAGGCCTTTTAATTTTTGCAAAAATGTTGAAATTCAAAAGATCAAAAACATCCTCATTTTTTTGAAACTAATCTCCAAAATTAACCCTGCTATTCCTCAACTTTTAAATAACCTCCCACCATTTATTTGAAGGGTAAACAGGAAACAGATTTGGGTACCTGCCACAACTCTCCAAGAGTCAATCATGAATGGTGTTTGTCCCCCCCCCTCCCCAAGGACATAGTCCAGTAGTGCAAAGGATAGAAGTGAGGTTATCTCACGCCTTGCTGGCAGCAGCAGTGTTGAGGTTCGATTCCTGAGACATGGAATTAGACTCCTTGTAGGAGCAGTGTACATACAGCTCTTGTTCTCTGGCTTGTTGGGACGCATCCCGTGATTTACCTCTCTTACAAATCTCTAGAGACGGGACGGTAGGGGTCCTCAATGTTGGAGTTCAACCTTTATGAATGATGTTTGTCTGGGAATTATGAATCAGGCTGCAAGTACAGGTACAACCTTTACAGGGGCTTCACAAGCTCTTCACTGTGCAGTGGCGAGGCCCCACTTGTATTTAAAAAAAATTGTGGAGCCCGCCTCCACGTGTGTCTTACCTGGCAGGGGCCTTTTCACAGGCCCCTGTATGTGCATACCGACTCAAGAATTATTCACAATTCATTCATTGTGGCCCCTACAATGAAAAAAGTTTCACAATGGAATTGGCAAAAAATTGGAATAATGGGGCTCAAGCACATCAGCACCACATAATTTTTTTATCGATAACTAATAAATGATTTCTACATAACATAACAAAAATGGGAATAAATAATTTTTTTAAATATAAATATGCAAATTTATAAAATCAAAATGTAATTATTATCACTAATAAATAAGTTAAAAAATTTATAATTTATAGATTACAAATAATTAGTGATAAAAACTTAAAATTTTAATTTTCTCTCAAAAAATATTTTTATACTATTAGAAAATTAAATAAGTTTCAAATAATAACCCACCGATCTGATCGTTGAGCCGTCGGTTCAATCAACAATTTGATAATCTAGTACCTCAGCTGGATCAATAATTGAGTTGAGCCTAATAAGCATGCTTATCCAAACATGCACTTGAAAAACTCCTACAATGAAGTGAAATCTCTAATCAAAAATTTCAAGAATTTTGATAAAAACAATAAATAAAATGTATCCTTAGACTTTGCAATTTTATTGAAAAATAAATCCCTATATCATAGATATTATAATTTAATTTTTTATCAAAGTCAAAGTTAATAATTAATTTTAACCACATACTTAATGGAATCTATAACTTTTTAATAACAAATTTCCTTCTTTTTTTTTTTAATCAAATTCTACTAAAAATTACAAATTAGGAAATCTCTTTTGAGTTTCAAAAACATGATTGGAATCTCACAGGAAATTAGAAAGAAATTTCCAACCTCTACTTTTTGGCCTGTTTTGCTATCTTCTCTTGAAAAAGTTACAACCTGCAAATTATCGACTTATTGAAATTGAGAAAAATAATTTGTTCTTCACAATATCATTTTCATCTCAAAATTGATAAAGCACCAAGCTTGAAGATGGCAAGCATCTTTGTGCCTCCATTTTTACAAGTCATAACTAAGAAGATAGCAGATCCTGTTTTCCGAAGGATTGCTGATATTTAGCATCTCAATAGCTGGCTCAACAAGCTCCAAAGAATACTGCCAAGGATCCAAGCCATTATCCAGGATGCAGAAGAGCGGCAAATTACTGATAATGCTATTAGAATTTGGCTTTTTCAGCTCAAAGATGCAGCCTACAAAGTGTCGGAAAATTTACTGATATTGTGCATATTATATTCATGGCATTTATTTGTGTGAATTGGAACGTAATTTCGACTTACCAAAATGGATTTGGAAAGATGAAATGACAAATTCAATCATTCACATTCTTTATTTCAAACCTACATGAAATCAAAAAAAATGTTATTAATTTTCTAAAATCAAATATAAAGGAAGAAATCAGAAAGAATCAAGGAGAGATACGATTGGTCGAGGCAAGTGTTGGATACTTTGTCCTTTAGATAAATTTGCCATGCATCGGTGCTAACGATTTTCTCGACAATCATCTCTCAAGATACAACGATCGTGTCTAGCCATAGGAGCACTCCAACTGGCTTAGATCAACGAACTTGAACGGAATTCCCTCTCTACCATAACATGACTTTGATGCAAGTGTTTGATGTAAATTAAACTTTAGACAAGCAATGGAATGATATGAAATTATCTATTGACTTGAATTTTTGTATGATTAAATCCAAACATATGGGGTCAATATATAGTGGTTGGAAAGGTATGTCAAAAGACACACCCACACCATGAGACACCTCTTGGAATTCCTAATTATTCGATTCATATAAAAAGATACCTCTTTTCATCCATTTTTTTCTAGAATATTTCACAATATTCTATACAGTTTTTCAACAATTTCAAGTATTAAGCGGCTTATATTTGGCTTAATTTCTCATTCACCAAATTAAGAATTCCACTTAAACAACCATATAAAATTAATCACAACCAATTTTTGATACAAAATTTCAACAATCCCCCACATGAACGAAAATTAATGCCAATATCTATGCAAACACTGGAAGAGGGAGCGGGAAAACACTGCATCAGGTAAGGTGGTTTCTGGCTTTGAATCTTTTTTAGTGAAATACTATCGAATTTACTAGTTAATTGGTGAACGCGATGTTCTTGAACCATCAGCCATTGGTGTAAACCAGGGCAACAATACTCACACAATAGCTCTAATAAACCGTTTATGTTTCTCATGACTAGGCTCATTTTGACCCTGAATCCATCTTGATTTTGTAAGTGTTTAGAGAATTTAAGCCTTGAATAATCTCATTGAAGAAGCCCCACTTCAAACTTACATAGGTGACCTCCTATTAAGAGTATTCTGCCCTACTCCACTTGACTTAATCAAGATATAGGGATCATTAAAAGTTTATCTTAACCTCCAACCACTCTACAGTAAGCACTTTGGTATCATAGGAATGAGTTAGGAGATAGTTTCCTAAGTGCTTCATGAATTTTTCATAACTTAGTTATCCCTTTGAACTAAGATATTGGGATCTCCAGTCAACAAGGTAGGGTTACCATCATAAGGACTCTTACTCAGTAGGCTTAATTTCATTCTTTTCGATATGCAGTATACTTGATCTCTTAGTAAGCATATATAAATGGATCCACAAGTTCACATCAATAAGATCAACTGGTTATGGCATTATGTCTATGACTTACACGTCTAGACTTACCATTACATGTGACTTAGTATTTTTTTAAATTTAGCTAGCCAACAATCGATTCATTTGATAGATACACATTGTCACCAACTAAGACATCCTCTTATGAAGCTATATTCTTCTCATTAGCTTTATCTAAAGCTTTATCAATTCCAAACAAGATCGAAGGATTTCTATCAAATTATTACACTAGTTAATCATATTTACTAGTGAATTTCATACATAGGTATTCAATATCATCATTAAAGCATTGCAATACATTCGAACTTTATGAATATTCTCCAATATTCCAATTGTTCTTGTATATCCAAACAACCGTCATGATCGACTTTCATCCCATTTTATCCACTTTAGACTTAGTGTATATCATCGTATCACAATATCCTTCCAATATCGCAGAATATCTTGTGAAATGTAATACATAGGTCATGGTATTTCAAATACCTAAGGACCCCTATCAATATCACTCAATAACCATGGTCTGGATTACTTATGAATCTACTGAGTTTATTCACAGCAAAAGCATTATCCGATCAAGTTTAGTTCGTAATATACATTAGAATGAAAATTACTTGTAAATATCTTAGTTGTGACACGTTTTCACTCTTATTTTGACCAAGTGTAGACTTGTGTCAATAGGGTATTTTCGAACTTTCCCATAATACTTCAAACTGTTTAAATAGTTTCTCAACATAATGAGACTAGAAAAGTACAATTCCTTTCAATATTCTAGAGATTTTTATCTATAGTATTACATCTGTCACACCCATTTCTTTCATGTCGTAATGCTTCATAAGTATTTTCTTGGTATTTAGCACCACTTCGTGACTATTGTCCATCATCAACATATTTTCTACATATAACATCTGGTGTATTTTTGTCACATTCTTTTATTTTGAACTCATTTGACATCATCATTTTGTCAAACTTTTGGTGTTAGGAGCTTGTTTCAGTCCATATAAGAACTCAACAAGTTTACAAACTTTGTGACTTTCACTGGGAAACACCTTCAGGTTGCTCCATGTATATCTCTTCTTCTAACTCACCATTTAGGAATCCCGTTTTCACATCAATTTGGTGAAACTCAAGGTTATGTATTGTCGCAGTTGCAATTAGTAATCTTATCGAAGTTATTCTAGTCATGGGTGAGTAGGTAAAGAAGTCAAATCCATCTTCGTGCCTATATCCTTGGGCAACCAATGTAGCCTTATATTTGTCAATGAATCAATAAGGTTTTAATCAATTTACACCATAAGGCTTACTTCTTGTAGGTATATCTACCAATTCTCATATATGAATTTGCATTATGAAATCTATCTCACTATTGATAGCTTTCTTCCAATGCAATGCTTCCGAAATAGACATTGCTTCTTTAGAAGTTTTTGAGTCATTTTCTATCATATATGTTAGAAAATCTTGACCAAACGAAGTGGACATTCTAGTCATCTTACTACACCTTGATTCTTCCTCATTTGAAGACCCATTTGTAGTTTCATATATTCTTTTATTCAAACTTACATTTTCCACATTCTCAAAGAACATTGCATTTCTTGACTTAATTATGGTACCCTCGTGTACATTCGATTCGTATACAAGAAAATGATATGTACTACTATTATTGGAGTATCCAATAAATATACAATCAGTTATTTTGGGACCAATCTTTATTTGTTTAGGCTTAGGAATTTATAAATATATATATATATATATATAATTTCTTTCATAGTAGCATTGCACACACACACACACACGACTTGAACTTGTCTTGTAAGTTCTCAAATATTAATGTTAACCCCCACATTTTTGGGTTATTCTTGAACTTAAAGTTCATCAATTTCTTTCATAGTTCAATCCATTTATCACTTAGACAATATCCATATCAAGTGCTTCGTGAAAGCCTAAGTACTTTCAAAATAATGGTCGTTGATTCACACAAATGAAAATCATTTTCCATTCGAAATTGTACTTCAATCAATCATATTAATTTGATCATCCAAATTAAATCAAGGTCATCACATAGACCAACAACACTTTCAAAACACATACCAACTTAATTAGTTCCAAGATTGAAGTCAAATTCAACAATGAAGAAGACCAAGTAACTTCTCCTTATTCTCCATATTCACATTTCAATGAATTAATCAACCATAGGTTGACAAATTGTGTTCTCAAAGTCACAACTTTATAAAAGGACATACCTCTAGAATATTTCATAATATTCTTCACAGTTTACATAACATGATTTTTATCCTTTACAAATGAATGTCTTTTACAATCATTATTTTTAAGGATATCCGACATCACCACCAACTATAGACAACATTTGTGCTCTATAAAATATTTTCATATCTCAATAATTGGGCAAGCAATTTCTACTTTAAAATAATTAGGATAAAACCACATTTTCTCATACTCTTATGCAGCTATAATTTTCCATAAGTCATCTCATTTAATTTCATAGAATTATTTGAGGATATCATCATAAATCAAGGTTACTATAATTTTCAAATCAATATCGGATGAACATATACCGTATATGCAATGTATTGTATTTACGCACCCCGTATATACAAATTACCGTATATGCAGATTACCGTAATTACATGTTACCGTATACGCAGTATACCGTATTTGTACCAATATACCGTATTTACAACAGATTACCGTATTTGCAACAACATACCATATTTGCACCAGCATACCGTATATTCAGCTTATATACAACTTACTTCATATACCGGATTTGCATATACATACCAAAAAGTCTATCCGAAATCCAAACCCTTGTACGGATTCACCAAATGAATTCACTATTTGAAATTCACATTTATACAAATGACACTATAATGTCACATTCCATATCCACTTTCCGTAATTATCATATAGACAACAACAAAGTTGCATATCCAAATGAAGGGACATAGATTTCCTTCATACATATTTGTATAATCATTCCAAACAAGGCGCAAACCATTATATTGATAAATAAATTATATACGTCAAAATCATGAAACTACATGCCCGTTCATAATTTTTAACTTGGAAGTATCAACTTGCAAAATATGAAATGATTCACAATGTCCATTTATAATTTAATCAATTCATAATTTGAAATTATTAATATCAAAGATGTAATAGACACAAGTACATGTATAAGTCCATCGTTTTCATTGCATTTAAAATGAAAAGTCCATTATTCCAATCATTTATTCCAATTACAGTTACAAACTGGGGCATCAAAACGTACTTTATAATTCAATGAAGAGCCACAATCAAAATTTAATTTCCAACATGAATTGCATTAATCATATATTTAATAGATTTTTAGTCCACCACAAGTAAACGGAACCACTCAAGTAGCCAACATTTACAACCATACATAAATGGATAGCACAGTTTCGTAATGGATTTTATACAATGGACATGTAATTGAAAAGGCATTCACAGTAATTAACTTTCACTTTTCTTAGCGAGAAACAGTTTACTGCTTTCATGGTAAACAAAGTTGGTCTTATGATTTCTATTCATAGCCACCATTTTTTACCAAATATACATGTTGGTACATGAGAGAATTCAAAACACATGCATTTTCCTTTTAAATATTTAAAAGAATGCACAGGCCATAATGTTTAGAGTTCGGCCCAAAGTCATTAGTTCAATTTGCAACAATGTATCAGTGTGTATTTAATATATATTCTTGGCCACCATTTGACCATCAAACGTTGTTCAACTTCATGGCCTTAGCCACATCATATTTTTATGGCTGACTTATTGGCAAATATGGATCAACATGAATTTGTCGAATAATATATGCATAACTTGAAGAAATGCCATCGATGGTCACAGCAATCTAACTTATTCAATTCGATTTTATGTATGCTTCATAATTCACAAATTTCAAGATGAGACAGATGTATGTATTTAACAGAATATTTTTATTCACAAAAAACAAAATTCATCTTAAGATTGTTGAAAATTTTTACCGATATAGTGCATATTATATTCGTGCAATTTATTTGCGTGAAATCAAAACGTAATTTCAAATTACCAAAATGAATTTGGAAAGATGAAACGGTAGATTCAATCATTTCCATTCTTTATTTTAAACCAACATGAAATCAAAAGAATGTTATTAATTTTCTGAAATCAAATACGAAGGAAGAAATCAGAAAGAATCAAGAGGAGATGCGATTGGCCTAGACAAGTGTTGGACACTTTGTCTTTAAAATGAATTTGTCCCGCAACGATGCTAAGGATTTTCCCAGCAATCATCTCCCAAGATACAACTACAACGTCTAGCTATAGGAGCACTCCAAATGGTTTAGATCAATGAACTCGAACGAAATTCCCTCTCTACCATAACATGACTTTGATGCAAGTGTTTAATGAAAATTAAACTGTAGACATGTAATGGAATGATATGAAATTATCCATTGACTTGAATTTATGAATGATCAAATTCAAACATATGGGGTCAATATATAGTGGTTGGAAATGTATGTCAAAAGACACACCCACACCAAGAGACACCTCTTGGAATTTCTAATTATTAGATTCATATGAAAAGACACATCTTTTCATCCATCTCTTTCTAGAATATTCCATAATATTCTATACAATTTTCTAACAGTTTCAAGTATTAAGCGGCTTACATTTGGCTTAATTTCTCATTCGCCAAATTTAGAATTTCACTTAAATAATCATGTAAAATTGATCACAACCAATTTTCGATACAAAATATCATGAATACGGGTACGATTAATTTTCAATAATTATGTCTCTTAATGAGATGCATCACTACTGAAATTTCCAATCGGTAAAATTTTCCAACACAAAGTAGAGGACTTGCTTGAAAAATTCAAATTTAGCTATATGCATAAGAGAGAAAGATATCATATTAATTTCGGCAACCCAAGGATCAATCTTGATGATTTAGAAAAGGCAGAGCGAAAGGACTCAGCTTAAATAAGCAATTTGAAAATAAGGAAACTAGCTCTTTTGTTATTGGATCTGAGGTTTATGGAAGGGAGGAAGACAAAAGAAAGATAATAGATATGTTATTAACACCATCTGGAATAGTCAGTGGAGGAACTACACCTGTGATATCAGTAATCGGCACTCCAGGCATTGGAAAAACCAATCTTGCTCAGTTCATCTATAATGACGATAAGGTAAAGAAACATTTCGATGATTGAAGAATTTGTGTTTTTGTATCAGAAGATTGTAATGCCAAAAGAATAATTAAACAAGTAATTGAGAAATCAACTGGAAATAAATGTGATTTAATGGACTTGGACGGTCTGCACTCTCAAATGTGGGAATCACTAAAAGAAAAGAAATATCTTCTCGTACTCGATGATGTTTGGAATGAAGATCAAGGTGATTGGGATGAACTGATGCCACTGTTTCAGCGTGGACTTGATGGATGCAAAATACTTGTCACAACCCGCAGTCAAAAAGCTGCATTGGTTATAGGCAATTCAGATACAGCATATCACTTGAAGGGTTTGTCAAATGACGATTGCAGGAAAATATTCACAAAGCGTGCTTCTTTTACTCGAACGGAAGAAGAGGAGTATCCAAACCTTCATTCAATTGGGAAAGAACTAATGCGGAAATGTGGAGGTGTGCCTTTGGCCGCAAAAATTCTTGGTGGTCTCATGCGCTTTAAGAGAGAGGAGAGGGAGTGGCTAAATGTGCAGAATAGTAATATTTGGATTTGGAAGGATTACAAAAAGAAAAATTTACCTGTACAGGCATTTGTGCCGCATCTCAAACACTGCTTTGCATTCTAATATTTCCGAAGAATTACGAAATCAAGAGGGAGAAATTAATCCATATGTGGATGGCACTTGGCCTAATTCTTCCATATGGTGGAAGCAAGGCACTAGAATAAATTGGGGATGAGTATTTCAATGAGTTGGTCTGGATGTCTGTGTTTGAAGACGTCATGGAATATGAAGGTGGAGCCATAAGAAGGTACAAGATAAATGAAGATTTTCAGCCTTGCCCAATCTGTTACAGAAAATGAATATTTAGTATTAGAAAACAGACCTGCAGGAAACAATCTTGGAAAAGTTCGTCGTGCATCTATTGTATCTAAGCATAAATCGTTCCCCATTCCAGGTGCCCTCCGTCAGGTACAGCATTTGCTTACTCTCGTTGTGTTCTTATTGTTGGGCAAATTCAATTATTGCATAAATAAATTTATCAATCCAAGCAGTTAACTGGAGCAATTAAATATGTAAGCAGATGATCAAAAGCAAAAAATAAGCAAAACGGAACACCAAATTTTTAAGTGGAAAAAACCCTCCAGTGTAAAGGGAAAAAAACCACAGGGCAACTCCGGCCAAAATCCACTATAATAAAATATAGATTACAATTATTCAAATTTATGCCCCTAAACTTGAATTCTCCACAAATTGGAAATACCACAATAAACCAATCTCTAAGACTACAATTATCTCACAACAAATCAATACTATGATTAAACTTGCGAGAATCCACTTTGAATATTAATTCAAAATATATCTTAGAGAAATTCCAATTTGTTATGTGTAGAGAAGAAAATCAACCGTGTGAATCCACACCTTAATTGAGCAACAACCTGTTTTTCTCAATTCTAGCTTTTCTTCTCTCGACACGTCTCCCGGTAGCCGGCTATTTCTCCCCCAAGTTCCAACAGCGGCAGATTCTAATTCTCACAATGATAGCCACCGTTGTTGACCTCTCCAATTGTCTACCAATTCTGCCACATTTTTTGTCCCTTGAATTTGTCTCTCACTTTCACAAATTCAGCCACTGCTTTTTGTCTCTCAATTCTTGGCAACAGTTTTTTTACGAGAGAGAAAGAGACCATTTTATATTCACCAATTGACCTAACTTAAACAATAAGTAATTGGGCCAATTCTTTCTTATGTTGGGCTTAAGTTGCTACACACGTGGGCTGGATCTAGTCAACAATCTCCCCCTCCAGCCCACTGAGAAGGAGATTAACCTCTAACAAATTAGTTAGAATCTATGCCGGCCAGTCCGGCACAAAACTCAAGCTTTTCTCTGGTCACAACTTTTATCATCATATCAGCTGGATTATTCTTTGTATGAATCTTCTCTAACAATATCAATTGTTCTGCCACTACCTATCGTAGCCAATGATATCTCACATCAATGTGCTTCGTCTGAGAATGATAAGTAGCATTCTTGCTCAAGTCTAATGCACTCTGACTATCACAATTAAGTACAAACACATTTTGCTTCAAACCCAAATCTTGAAGGAACCGTTTCATCCAAAGCATTTCTTTCGCTGCTTCAGTTGCTGCAATATACTCAGCCTCAGTTGTAGATAAGGCAACACACTTTTGTAATTTGGACTGCCATGAGACAGCTCTCCCTGTAAAAGTAACCAAATATCCTGAAGTAGATTTTCTACCATCAAGATCACCAGCCATATCTGCATCTGTAAAACCCTCCAAAATTGGTTTTGAACCTCCAAATGTTAAGCACATATTTGAAGTACCTCCCAAGTATCTAAAGATCCATTTTACTGCCTCCCAATGATCTTTACCGGGATTAACAAGAAACCTGCTGACTACCCCAACTGCATGAGCAATATATGGTCGTGTACAAACCATAGCATACATTAAACTCCCAACCATAGAGGAGTAAGGAACCTTTGCCATTCTTTCTTTATCTTCTTCTTTAGAAGGACATGTCATCTTACTCAGTTTGAAGTGACTACCAAGTGGTGTCCAAACTGGTTTAGCATTCTTCATGTAAAACCTTTCCAGCACTCTCTCTACATATTTTTCCTGCGATAACCATAACTTTATGGCTTTCCTATCGCGACGAATATGCATCCCCAAAATTTGTCTTGCTGGTCCAGGATCCTTCATGTCAAACAACTTAAACAGATCTATTTTCAAACTGCGAATCAACTGAACATCTTGTCCCAATATCAACATATCATCTACATATAACAAAAGGATGATGAAGTTACCACCATGGAATTCTCTAACATAAACACAATGATCTGCATCTATCCTGGTATAACTATGACCCACCATAAAGGAATCAAACTTCTTATACCACTGTCTTGGAGCCTGTTTCAACCCATACAAACTCTTTTTCAATCTGCAAACCATATGCTCTTTTCCTCTTACTTCAAATCCCTCTGGCTGAACCATGTAGATTTCTTCCTCCAAATCACCATGGAGAAAGGTGGTCTTGACATCTAACTGCTCAAGCTCAAGATCCAAACTAGCTACTAAACCTAAAACCACTCGAATAGAAGTCATTTTGACAACAGGAGAGAATATCTCATCAAAGTCAATCCCTTTCTTCTGACCAAAGCCTTTTACCACCAATCGAGCTTTATACTTCACTAGCTTTTCGCCATCTTTCTTCAACTTGAACACCCATTTATTTTTCAATGCCTTTTTACCTTTAGGAAGCTTTGCTAGCTCATAAGTGTCATTCTTCTGCAAAGAATTCATCTCTTCCTGCATAGCTTTTACCCAGCTTTGTTTATCCTTATGAGATTCTACCTCTTCAAAGCATTCTGGCTCCCCCTCATCAGTTACCAACACATAATCTGACACTGGATACCTGGTTGATGGACGATGCTCCCTGTTAGATCTTCTGATCTGAGGTTCTGATGTAGTAGGCTGCTCCCCCTGCTCAACATCCTCTAAATCATCCTCATCAACCCCTGCTGGCTCATCAGCATGTCTGTCAACGTGTGTCTCTACCCCCTGAGTGGCACTGTCTGGAGGCAAAGAAATAGGTGTAAGGTCAGTGACACCTTCAGCAACACGTCTCTGATTCCCAGATTTCTCAAAATCTGCCAACTTCTGATTTTCATGAAAAATCACATCTCTGCTTCTGATTAGTTTCTTCTTTTCTGGATCCCATAATCTATAGCCAAATTTTGCATTTCCATAACCAACAAAAATGTAAGGACTAGATCTATCATCTAGTTTCAATTGATGTTCCTTTGGCACATGTGCAAATGCTTTGCACCCAAACACCTTCAAGTGAGAATAAGAAACGTCCTTTCCTGCCCACACTTTTTCTGGAATATCAAAATTCAAAGGAGCTGATGGAGACCGATTGATTAGGTAGCACGCTATTCGAACTGCTTCACCCCAGAATGACTTAGATAACCCAGCCATCCTTATCATGCTTCTGACCTTTTCCATAATAGTTCGGTTCATTCTCTCTGCCACACCGTTGTGCTGTGGGGTACCAGGAACTATTTTCTCATGTCTAATACCATGTTTTGAGCAGTAATCTTTAAACACTTTAGACGTATATTCCCCTCCGTTATCAGTTCGGAGACACTTCAAGAGCTTTCCAATTTTTCGTTCCACCATGGCATGGAACTCCTTGAAGTACCGAAAGACCTGGTCTTTTGATCTCAAAAAGAACACCCACAACTTTCGTGAAGCATCATCAATAAAAGTAAGAAAATACTTACTACCACCTAAGGATTCCACCTCAATGGGACCACAAACGTCAGAATAAATCAAATCTAAAATATTTGACTTTCTACTAGAGGATTTTTGAAATGAAACTCTATGATGTTTACCAAATAAACAATAATCACAAGAGTTTAACGATGTACCTTTGGTAAAAGGAATGAGGGACTTCCTTGCCAAAGTCTGCAATCCTTTCTCGCTTATGTGAGCCAGTCTCTTGTGCCACAAGTCTAGTGATGAATCACTTTCAGCTGCATTCACCGCTTCACTACACATCTTTACTTATGTCTTGTAAAGTGTACAACAAACCTTTCCTCTAGCAAATACCATCGAACCTTTTGTTAGCTTCCATCTTCCGCTGCCAAAATAACTGTCATACCCTGCCTCATCAAAGGCATGTGTGGATAGCAAATTCAAGCGCATGGCTGGCACATGTTGCACATTTTTCAATGTCAAGTTGCATCCAATATTCGTCTGAACACAAATATCACCAATTCTGACAATGCTCGAAAACTATCATTACCCATCTTCACCCTACCAAAGTCACCTGATTTGTATGAAGTGAAGAACTCCCGTCTTGGAGTAACATGGTAAGAAGCCCCAGAGTCAATAACCCATTCAACAAATGAATCTGCAACATGACAACACTGTTCATCTTCAATAGAAAAATTGCTATCACTACTTCCTCATCTGAAGCGCTAGCTGCTATATCCTGATCAATCTTCTTCTGATTTTTCTCTTCTTTCAATTTATTTTTCCAAGCGAGGCAATTCTTCTTTACGTGACCCTCTTTGTCACAATAAAAACATTTGACCTTTCCTCTTGCCTTTGACTGACTTCTGAAGTTACCACGTCCCTTAGGACCTTTGCTTTTACACCTTCCTCTGTTCTCTGTAACAAGAACCTGTGTCATTCCTACCCAAGTCTTTCCTTCTTATTTCTTCATTAAACATGCTGTCTTTAACTAGAGTAAGTTCAAGCACACTATTCGGAGCAGAGTTACTAAGTGATACCACCAAAGTCTCCCAATTGTCAGGCAATGAACTAAAAAGTAATAGTGCTTGCATCTCATCATCTAGCACTATTTTCATCGTGGTCAACTGATTTACCAAGTCTTGGAATTCACTCAAATGCTCAGCAACTGATTTTCCCTCCTTTAGCTTCAGATTTACAAGCGTTCTAATAGCAAAAGTTTTATTTTGAGTGGTCTTTCTTTCATAAAGACTCTCCAATTTTTCCCAAAGACTATGGGAATCTGTCTCTTGAGATATATGATGGAACACATTAAGGTCAACCCACTGTCTAATATATCCAATGGC